TTGTTGTTGTTGTTGTTGTTGTTGTTGTTGTTGTTGTTGTTGTTGTTGTTGTTTTTGTTGTTGTTGTTGTTATTGTTGTCGTTTGCTTTGTTTCCAAACCACCTCTACGTGACTTAATTAGACTCTTTATTGTTCTGATCCCCTTCGTTTGTAGCCTGGGCACATATAGTGTTATGTAGTGCAGGATTATGAATACCTCATAACCTAAGAATCACAAAGTTCTTTCTGCTCAGTATATGTAGATCTACCAAATTTTGAGGAAATTTGACGTAAACAAATTGAGCTTCACAAAACGTCAAGCTTTTTCGAATGCAATTCTTTGAGTATCTTGATGACGACTCAGAATAGTCTTACGATTTTGATAGCGCAGATAGAACATTATCTGGTGTCTGATCTCATGGCCATAGTAACTTTACAAAAGGATTTAAAATGTCAGACAGAACTTTGTAATTCTAAGGCAGCTATATGACATAAATCATGACTAACGTTGGGGTAGAATAATATCTTTAACTTTAAATGTATTTTTATCAGATACTCCCAAGATACTCCGAAGATACTCCCAAGATACTCCCCCCCCCCCCCCCCCCAGGGGTCATTTGAAAAAAAAATGTGCAGTCGTAGTTTCTAAAACGCATCAATGTCTCCACGCCGTTTTAACTCAAAAACGACCACACGGGTCAGATAAAATTTGTAATACCGGGTGCCCATTGCGGGTTGGGTCCGGTCGGGTCGATCACCCGACTCGTTGCCTGAAAACTAAGGCGTTTGTTTTTTAGATGACTAGTCGGGTGCGATGAGCTTGTGCCACGATAGCCGCTTTGCGCCCTCAATCTGGCTAGCAAACCGACCCGACCCGACCAGATTCCCCCAATGGCTAAAGCGAACATAGTACATGTACAAGACTGTTGTACTGCATTAAGTCATATTACTCCAAGGGGTGGATGTCAACAGAGAAGTCCTTACAAGGAATCACATTTACTCTTCTCACCTCTCTTGCTTCAACAGGACAAAGTCTGCTTCGACTACCATGGCACCCCGAAAATAGCAAGTCACAAGAGTGTGACAAACATAGAAAAGAAAATGACGATAGTAAGGATTAGGAAAGAAAAAGCAGCAGTTTCCTGTTGCTGTTCAAGCACAGTAATG